GTCTGCAAAGGCCCTGTGTTTATTATTTTGCCACATGAAATGTTGATTGGGTGGATAATGTATGAACTGAGGCTCTGACATATTAATAGAAACATTCACAAACTAAACACTTTACCATAGAGCTGCAGCTTGTTCGGGCCATACATGGGGCCTGAGGGCAAGCTGGATACTAGATCATCCTTTGCACATTGCAGAAGGGCTTGTGGTACCCTGTATAGCTGCAGTGGTCAGCAAGGATAATCACATAGAATCATAGAATCATAGAATCATAGAATTATAGAGTTGGAAGAGACCACAAGGGCCATCCAGTCCAACCTCCCTGCCATGCAGGAACTCCCAATTAAAGCATCCCCGACAGATGGCCATCCAGCCTCTGCTCACAGTGACTTGTAGGGAGGGGAACAGAGAATTCTACTTGGGTCCTGTGGGAGACTTCATTGCAGCCTTGTTTCCACATGCACACTTGTCATAACTCACCCCTTGGACAACTCAGAGGAGATGGAGGTAGTAAATTACCAGGAATCTGCAGGTCCTGATAATGGAATTCTCTTGGTGTCCTGGGAGTTGTGGGCTGAGGAAGTGGGGGGCCCTGCTTCCCAGCAGGAGATGATGAAGGCTGAAGACGTTGAAGATGATCCCCCATCCTTTATTGAGCCACAAAAACAGAAACACTAATCCCAATGACTGTTAAGTAGTAGCCAGTGACCTAATTAGACACCTGTATCCTTAAAAGGGCCGCCCATGAGTATCTCAGCAGTTCCCTCGCAGCTTTGGTGCTGACAACCATCTTATTCTGTTGACTGGAAGTACTCTTACTCTCTTAACATTCCTGTTTTCATGATCTTGGACTGTTTACTCCTTGCTCGTTTTGTGTATCTGGACTGCTGACCTGCTGCCATGATTTTTGGAACAACTGAAGACCACCCTCTCTGATCTTGCTCAGATAATCTGTGACTAAGCTGGACTGGACTAACTACCTGACAGATCTTGCACTCAGCCACCTGCTTTCTTGGGCACTTGCTGACTTGTGTATAGGATAGAACCACTTCTTCCTAGTCTGTTAGGAAATCCATACATGTGTTTAGTAATCTCCAAGTTGAATGCTTATTCAAAGACCTCTCAAGACGCTGAAAAATTTCCTATATACTTTTTTGACAGTGAAAAGTGTACAATGTGTCCCTTAACTAGTATAATAGAAATAAATAACTTAACTTGTATAAAATAAATATAGTGCATTCATTTATTTTCTGGATTTTAACCCACCCCTTTGAATAACTCTTAATTTGTTCTGCCTTTACTTTTATAGCGTTTCTATAAGAAAGCAGCTGCATTTGTATTAAGAGCAGTTGGAAAACATTCCCCCCAGCTAGCCCAAGCTATAGTTGACTGTGGAGCACTAGATACCCTGGTGATTTGCTTGGAAGATTTTGATCCTGGTGTAAAAGAGGCTGCATCCTGGGCTCTTGGCTACATAGCAAGACACAATGCAGGTAACAGTCTCCCTAATATTTTAAAATCCATTAAGTATTAACTGATACCTGTAGGGAGCATGCATGCTCTAGTGGTTTGAGCATCAAATTACGATCTTGGAGATGAGGGTTTGATTCCCCACTCGGCCATGGAAACCCTGGGTGACCTTGGGTAAGTCACACACCCAGGAAACCTGTGATAGGGTCACCATAAGTCAGAAACAAGTTGAAGACACACAACAACTTGATATATGTCATGAAGAAGTATCATGGTCTCTGCTCTTCTGCCACCAAAGAAACGAGTGACTTCATAGTCAAATGTGATAGTAGTAGAGAAGATGGCATAAGTAAGATGTGATAGTAGTACAGAAGAACAAGGAGCCTATAATTTAATTTGAGGGCAAGAGCCAGTGAGGTGTAGTGGGTTAAGTGTTGGACTGTGACTCTGGAGACTGGTGTTCAAACCCCTGCTTAGCCATGGGAAACCATTGGGAGACGTTGGCCAAGTCACATATTCTTAGTCTCAGAAGAAGGCAAAAGCAAACCTCTGAAGAAATCGTGCCAGGAAAATACCATGATAGGTTCATTGTACAGTTGCCATAAGTCAGAAATGACTTGAAGGGACACGACAATAAAATTCTGATGTATTTTTCAAGGGTGTTCTAAACATTACTGTGTTGACATATATGGAGTCCTTTGAATGCTGAAAAAAATATTACATAAATGAATAGTTATATCAGGTTTATGGAACTAAAATGAGAAACCTCCATGGCTTGGATAGCATCAGTGGCAGGCCCAGATTCCTGAATGTCATTATTTTTCCTGCATATGAGCTTGCATGCCATCCTGCCCAGCCAAGTCTGGCTGAAGGAGTGTTGACACAGAACAGAGGACTGAATCCCTTTATCTCTGATTGGCAATAGTAGAGGGACTTTGAGGAGGAGGTGAGGGCAAAGGGAAGCTTCTGGTGGGCCAGGTTATGTGGGAGACAATTCACCCTCTTAGAAGAAGTGGTGTCTTCAGGCAAATCCACAAGTTACTGCCCCTTGACTCCTGCATTCATACCCAAATCATAGCTTTCTTATTTAATTTTTTTAAAATAAATACCAGCTAAGGAGGCTGATACTAATGTATAACATCCCTTACGCTCTTTGTAATTTTTGCATTGGGGTCAGTGCTAATTGTTACAATAATTTCTTGGCTACTAGTATGGCCATAGTACAGATCAAGGATAGGCAACATGGTGTCAACTGGGTATTTTATACTATAGGATCCATAATCTCGACAGTTGAGAATGTCAGTTGTGGCTGATAGGAGTCATAATCTAAAACATCTGGAGAACACCATGGTGCCTATCCCTGGTACAGACATACGTATCCTATAGTTTAATATGCTAACAGCTGTCAAGCAATCATATATTGGCATTTGAGGAACTACTTTGGATTAGTCTGCTCTGCTCATTTGCTTTTAAACACATTGAGAGACTAAAAAGTTCAAAGCAATTTTAAATGCATGTGTGACAAGGAAATTTTCCCAGTATTGCCTGGGCTGATATTGATTATTTTTCTTTCATAATTTGTCATTATTTAAATTGTAGCACAGAGGATATAGTATAAATTATACTATAGACGATATGATTTTAAAAATTCAACTAATCATTAAATTATAGGGAAGATAAGATAATGCAGTCTATATGTAATATGTAACTAATGCATATGTCACAAAGGCCTATTAGAAAATGGCCATGGTTTTGTATATGAGCCTAATCTGTTTAAAGGCAGTCCTGGCTACAGCTACCAGATAGGTGTTAGAGGTATTTGAAATAATTGCTGGATTTGGTTTGAACTCTTACAGTTGTCTTTGGGTTGGTTGTGTTAGATAATACACCAAATTTCATGACTCTGTGATAAAAGTATGTAAAATGTTTATTGTAAAGATAGACAAACACTTCAAATTATAACAAAAATCCACCAAACGGTGATACATTTATTGGCCAACCAAAATGCACAATATATTTGTTGCAAGCTTTCGAAGCTCCACTGGCTTCTTCATCAGGCAAGATGTTACAAACCAAACTGGAGAAAAAATTGGAGATGTTAGTCACATGCCTGCATTTTGATGTTTCTGTCCTTAGTTAAGATGGTAAGTGGAGGGTATCTTTTGCAGACTTCAAATTATAGTATATACAGCAATACTTTCCTGACTATATCTTTCAAATCCTACTAGATATCATCTGTTTTCCAAATGAAAGGAAGCTTTTGTGGTGTATCAAAGCTTTTAAATAAGAGGTAAAATGAATTACTTATTAAAAATAGGTTAATTTGGGATAAACAGGACACAAATCCAGGAAAATAAAAGGAAAAGTTTACTGTCATGCACACCATCCTGGTTTAGATAGTAAAGACTGGGAGACAGGGCAAAGTAGTTGTTACAGAGAGTGTGTAAATTATCAGAACATGCATTTACAGACTAGTGTTTCTTCTCTCCTCATGAAGCAATTGTAGATTCAGACACGTAGAGGACTTGTGTCCATGGAAACAATAATATACTGCAGACAAAACTGATCACACAGCCAAATCCTCCCTTTCTTAGGGATGACAGTCTTTGATTTTAAATGATATCAAAATTTGAGACAGAGCTGGTCACAAAATACTTGTTTGAAGTGCTCCAATTAACAATGGGCAGTCAGTATGCAGAGTGGGTCACAGGTAACAAATCACGAAGGCTAACTGAAATCCGATCAGCTGCAGCTGGTGACTCTGGAAATCCCAGTGGTCAATGAGGCACATCTTGGAGTTCAAAGGAAAACCTTCACAATGGGTGTTAAGTGGTTGGTGTGTGCACCTAGGCTGGTTTACTCTGTAATTCCTAACCTCCTGACCTATTGTTGATTTAGCAAGAAAAGTGGAAACTCAGTTCAAGATGGCAAGTTTTGTTAATGCAGTAAAATGTGTGGCATCTGTAACAGAACATTGCAATCTGTCCTTCCACCCCCCTGAGGAATGCTTGTGTTCAGAGTTTCAGCCAGCTTGGGACCAGGAGCCATTTAATACAATTCAAGTTTTGGGGTGTGTTCAGGAGAAAGGAAGAAGGGGAAAATGACAATTTCTTGTCACTGTCTTGAGGTCTTTTTAGTGTCAGCCTCAGAGCTGAGCATGTATATAATGGATGGTAAGATTTGAGAGGCAGAGTGGTGTAGTGGTTTGAGCATTGGACTATGACTCTGGAGATCAGGGTTCGCTTCTGAGCTCAGCCATGAAAGCTCACTGGTTGACCGTGGGTCAGTCACACACTCTAAGCCCCAGAACACCCTGTGATCGCTTCACCTTAAGATCACCATAAGTCAGAAATGACTTGAAGATACATAAGAACAAGGTTCTAGACTAGAGAGTGGGAACAGCAAAAAGGTTCATTTCCTTTCTCCTTATACATTTGTGTATAATACAAGGAGGGGATTTTTTAAAAAAAATTATGGAATGTGTCACCCTAATTTTTTAAAATTATGGCCTGGTTCATTTCTGGGCACAATTCAAAGTGCTGGCCACAACCTATAAAGCCCTATACAGCTTAGGTCTAGATTATTTGAAGAACCATATTTCCCCACATGAACCTGCAAGAACACTAAGGTCTTAAGGGAAAGGTTTTCCCTCAGTTCTGCCACCATCACAGACTCGCTTGGTGAGGACATTAGAGAAAGCCTTCTCAGTGGCTGCTCCCACTGTCTGGAATGCTCTTCTGCAGCAGACTAGGCTGGCCCCATCCCAGCTTTCTTTTCACTGGCAAGGTAAGACATTTCTATTCAAGCAGGCTTGTAATATATAATTATGTCAGGGTGGTTTTTATATGAGGTGTGTGCTTTACTTGTGCTTTTTAACTTTTGGATATTTTAATGTACAGGAGTCCCTTCACGTTTGTGGACTTGGGGTCTGCAGTCTCGTTGTATGCAGACAGCGAGTGGGGAGGAAACAAAATGGTGCGCACGCGGGAGGGTGCGGCCATTGAAATCAATGGGACCCCAATATTGGCAGTTTTTTCTATTATCAGGGGGAACGGATCCTCCTCAAATCGAAAGGAATGACTGTAATTTTATACTTTTTTAGTTAAATGGTTTTAATTGTTTTAAAAATTTTATTGTAAAGTTTTAAAAATGTTTTTTATCTGTGAGCCACCCTTTGGGTCCCTTTCTAGGAGAAAGGTGGCATACAAATGAAATATAAACAAACAAAAAACCCCACAAGTAAATAAATAAATAAATAAATAAATAATCCTAATTCCCCATCTGCTGGACTCTTATGTATAAACTCTTTGGAGTTTGAGCAGTTCAATTGCCTCTTCTCCCACTTTTCCTTCCAGTTTCTTTTGATTAATTTTTTATCCCTGGCTGATAGATATCTCATGATTCTGTACAACCTGGAAGCTCACAGGTGCTTGTCAGCACACTTTGCTTTTAATCTCTCTCTCATCATTTACTAATGTATATGCTTCTACATACCTCACAAGTTCCTTTAGTACATGTAAGTCACCACCATACCTTTGGGTGATCCCATTTTGTTTCCAATAACTTGTGAGGCACTACAATTTAATTTGTATTATGTATTTTTACCACATCTCTTACACAGGTCTCTCATCTTCTCTTTTTATTTAAACATGTCATTTTTTGAGCAAAATCTTCCTGCATTTTTGCTCTCATTTGAGAATTCATTTCCCTTGCCTGGTTTTCTTTTAAAAGTTATTTTTTGAGAAGGGCTATCATCTCTTTTCATCATTATTCAGATTGTATATATTGAGACAGGAGCTGGGAAGCTGTTTCTGGGATGTGATAGTGTAAAATAAGCAGTTCTTTTTCTGAGGATACAAAAATGAATGAATATATACTTAAATTGAGTACATGTTGGAAAATTCATGATAGTACTCTTGAAATGTGAAAAAGTAAGAAGGTGGTACTGGATGTGTTTAAAGGTTTAATTTTGTATTATAGAAGGGGATCATGCTATTAGTACTATTATCTACAATCCTGCTTGATTTGGGAGATGGAAGAAATTCAGACATCTCTTGAGATGTAACCCAATAGTATTTAACAACAAAATGACAGAATGGGAGAGCAATAAATCATGCAAATGTTCTGGCCTATTAGCTAATGAGTCTTTTCACATTTTTTTGGATTGTTAATTTTTATTATTTAATTCTGTGTTTTTTCTCCCTTTTCTTGGTAAAATTAGTTTCCAAAAGGGATTTCACTTTTTAATAAAGCTTAAATTACAAATAAATCACATCATCTATTGCATTTTTTGGAAATAATTTATCCCAGTATTTGTATTCAGTTATTATAATGATGTTGTGTGCCTACACAGTGAATGCAGTGCATGTCTTTGTTAAAATTAAAATCTGGAACATTATATAAAGCATGGGTTTGGAGAGGAAATCACATTAACGAAACACATCTTAGATATACTCCTAAATACAGTACAATAGTATTTGGAGTTTCATTTCATCACAGTAACATCTAGTTCACAGAGGTCCGAAAGCATTGTAGAAATAATCCAGTTTGAAACTGCTTTAATTACACTGGCTCAGTGCTAGGTAATTCTAGGAACTATGGTTTTGTGAGCCTTTTCTGTCAGAGAGCTTTGGTGCCACAATAAACTATAATTCCCAAGAGTCCCTAACACTGAGCTAGGGCAGTTAAAGTGTTCTCAAACTGGATTAGTTCTGCAGTGTGTTTTGAACCTAAGTTTAAGATAATTTTTTTTTAAAAAATGTTATTTTTGCATCAGTTGCAAAAAATTGCAATGGGTTTGCTATGGATTAAGTGATTTTTGATACTAACAATAAAAAATAAAATAAAATATATGTTATAAAATGATTACTCATTTAAATATAGAATGGGAATTCAAAGTTATACTGTGATTGAGAAATTTCTACAGAAGACTTTGATTGATGGACTGTAAATGCAAAATCAAAGTTGGGCCCTTGAATTACAACAGCTATTTGTTGCCATAGCAGTGTAGGGCAGGTTAAATGTTAAAGATAAGTGAGTATGTGCATAACAAGGAGAAGACCTAACAGAACCTTATTTAAGAAACTATAATAGCCTCTTTGAAATTAATGGGGTTTGTGTTCATTTTTCATCATCTTCCAAAATAGCCCTTTCTGTAATCCTTGCATTTGCTATCCCTTAATTTTCTACTTCACTACTGAAGCTAATGACAAATATATGAAGGGCGGGTAATGAAATTCTGCTATAACAGTACACTGGCTGTATCATTTAATTGTGGGTTCTTGGATTAAGATGCAAGCAACTGGCCGATGGCAAAATCCGTTGCAGAGATTTAATGTAGGGCAATACTATTATTGCTAGTTTACTAATGAGAAATATGCTGTTTTTTTTTTAAAAAAATTGGAATGATTTTTGAAGTCAAAATCAGTAAGCTAGACTTTTCAGTCGAATATACAGAGCATATATAGTAACAGAACTAAACATTCATGTATTTGAGGTATCATACTTTTTGCTACTCATATGAATGGGATAAAGTGCCATCTCAATTAGCTTTGTGGGAGAAGGAGAGGCATTTTGGCATTTTGGCTTTTCTTTATTGTTAGATGTGCAAAAACTGCTTGCCTATTGATCAGTGCACAACAGTCAGGGCTTAAACAGCTGACATCTGCTTACTCTTTTTAAATGCACAGGCACAGAGAGAGAGAGAGAGCAGCAAGCCATTTCAGTCTAATCTACCTCAAATGTGTACATGTAAATGCGGGTCCATCTATTGACCTCCATTCTTTTCAACTGAGGATTGGTCCACATGGTTCATGAAACCAGGAGGGCTGATTTGAAATGCAGATGTCAAGGCACTGAAGTACACACTCTCCTCTCCCCCTCCTGCTGTATCTGTCAGGGTGAAAAATGGCTTGCACAAGGGTCAGTCACCCATACTCACTTAATTACTTTCATTGGACCAACAGAACTGTCACAGGCTGTGGTGGATGCGGGAGCCATTCCTCTCTTAGTACTGTGTATCCAAGAGCCAGAGATCGCTTTGAGGAGGATTGCTGCTTCTGCGCTCAGTGATGTTTCAAAGCATTCTCCAGAGTTAGCACAGACCGTCGTGGATGCAGGGGCAATTGCTCACTTGGCTCAGATGATCCTCAACCCTGATGCCAAACTGAAGGTATTTTTCAAACTACTTTTTTCCACCCTCCCTCCTGTGGAATGAAACTAGAATCCAGTTATGATTGGATATTGAGGAAAGCATAATAATCTAAAAGGGCTCTTATTCCCAAATACACATTGCTGAATGATGAACTATTGGTAACAAAGGGGAGACTGGGCTACCTCTGATGTGACTGCTGTGTACACAGTGGAAATAACGGGTGGAAAGGGAATGAGAGAACTTGTGTTTAAATGTTGAGATCGTTCAGTTTTTTGACATTGGTGTGTAGTGGCAGATATCTGTAGTAAGTATTTCAAGAGTGCGTCTAAATGATCATATCTTATTTATATCTGAAACCTTTGGAACACAATTTTAATGGGTCAAACATATAATTTATAGTTTTGAAACTCTATTTTTTTGGTATTCTCAAATAAGCAGTTCCTCATTCCTAAACATATTTTTTTGGGAAGTAGGTCCATTGATTTCAGTGATACTTGTTTCCTAGTAATTTAGCTTAGGATCTGCATACAAGCCTGTGCATTTAGTATAATGTAATATATGTGTGCTTTAAAACTTTTACATTTTCCAACATCTGTCTACAGTAAGTCATAGCACAGTATGTATATTAAATAGTATTTATTTTTTAGTACCACAACTCTTTTTGTCTTTGGCATTTTGTAACAATTAACAGCAAATGGCATTTCCAACATACATATTTAATTAATGTAGAATTCTTTTAAACATCTATTTCAAATATTAAAATTTAAATGAGAACAGTTGATGGGGATTTTTGAGGTCTATATTTTGTAACTAAAAATAAGGAAACAATTATTTAATGTGTAATACAGTACTCTTAAAGAGCTGTACAGTACTTTTAAAGCTGCATGCCTTGCCTTCTGTTTTGAATTGCTTATAGAATAAGCACATTTTATGACTCTTTGTTGCATTTTCTCAGAAGTAGTTCTGTTCAATTTAGTGAGACTGTGTTTATCTTTATTGGGAAGAAGCTTTTGGATTGGTTTTTTTCCTGTTAAATTAGGAGGACTGTGAAGAGTTATCCCAGTTGGAGGGATTTTTTCTCTCTTTTCTTGATTGCTGTGCATAC